TTTTAGGACACAACATCGTCAAGTAAGTAACTTTAACGAATGTTATTCATCAGTCATTATCCGTGTATGCCATTGTTTTACGGTTACTACAGTTCAGTGGATCAGGAGGCGGTGGCTGGTGTGTGACTGAGTGGAGGCGGGACTAATTTGCATATTCATAGATCAGCGTATAGTAAATGAGGCAAGGGGGTAGAGTTGCATTCAAGCTATTTTAAGGCATGAGAAAATTATTTTCACAAGAAAAAACATTTAAATATGTAATTTTGATGATCAAAGATAAGTTTTAAGGGATAAAATATTTGACTACAGGGGGACTTTAAAAGAAACAAGAAATAACAAAGCAAAAAAACTGTAAATTACTTTAAAGCGTTAAATCTATTCTTTGAATAATTTGTAATTATTTGTACTTGTTTAAAGACGTGAGATTTTTTTTATTGCTTTTTTTATTTAATTTTTATTTTAACTATTTGTTTTCATTCAGTTTAAATGTTATTGCCCTTATATGTTCTTTGTTCTAAAAATTGCAATAAAAAAAAAAGAAGAAAAAAAACAAAAACGATCCAGGCAAGGATAACAAGAACTCAGCATCCACTCTCTTCTCTTATTCGGGATACTCTTCTTCTGTGTTTGTTTACACTGGTTTTCGAAACAGTGCCACCACTCTCACCCTTTTGTGCAACAGCAGCTGCTCCGGTCTCGTGATCCTAGCTAAAATCTTATTGGACGGCCTGTGATGCAGCTGCTCCGGTCACGTGATCCTAGACGGCCCGTGTTTTCACTTTGCGAAACTGAAAAGATTCGTCGGACTGGTTTGAAAAAAAACATTCGCATTTTCGGTGCGCGAATGTTCGTGGTCTATGTGGAAGCATCTAGAAATCTATTGTTTTATTCCAGCGCGTCATTGCGTCCGATTTTCGTTTCGCTTTTTCGCGCTCAGTGTGTCTTATGTATATATATATATATACTGTAAGGGTACGAACTACGGGGGAGCTAGGGGGAGCTCGGTTCCCCTTAATAAGACATGGGCTCCCCTGAAAACGTGATTTGTGAAATTTTGGGGGGTCTCAAAAAATATTGACAATGTGTTATTTTGACGTGCAATTTCAGTTTTGTGTAATGTGATCATCGTGGATTATTATGTGTAAAATTGCAAAAATAACATTCATTCAAGCATGACGACGATTTAAACCTAATTAACTACAATAAAGATAACTATACATGCTCTTGTCATGAGCATCAAGGTGTGGGGGCGCTGCGGTGCAAATTCCACTCATGTTTAGTACTGTTAATGTACAGTACTGTACAGTAATGTTAACTCAATGATTCGTAGAAAAAATATAAACGTTGGACTCTGTGGTCGATTCTGTGTTAAGGTAAGGCATGTTATTCGCAATTATGTGTTGTGGCTGGGTTATTATAGGTCTGCGTGACTCTCGATGTCTTAGGCCTAATTGAACGGAGGAATTATGGTATTCTTCTGTAGCCTGACGACGAGTAACTTTAACCGTTGTTCATGTGAACTCAAAGACAGCCTGATGCTTTGTTTATAGACTATTTGTGGGTGGCTGTTTGTTGTTTCACCTATCAATTCGTGTCGATAAAGTATAACAGGGTAAATCCTGTATAGTGATTTATCCTATATAGTGCTTGCATAAAGCAAGTAGTGCATACACTTGTAGCTGTTAAGTAGGCAGAGTGAAATTGTACTTTTATATTATTATTATTATTTACACCATTTAACCAATCAGATGAGAAAACACCAGTTGATCAAAGTTGTGGGAAAGATATGTGGCACTAAAATATGTCATTATAATAGAGATAGACTTTGACAACAAATCAACAATGACAAGACACTAAAAAAATGACATTACATTTATAAATATATGTGCACACAGAAATCTTACTTTCCCCATTAAATCTTTTATTTTTGAGTGAACACATTTTCTTTCAATTTTCACTCTGTAAAAAAAGGTTCACTGGCCTCAAAGGCTACATTCTCACTCTCAGTCCAAATCCGAGTTTTGTATCTAAATGACAGATTGTTTTTAATTTTCTGGAAAATCTGCACTGGTTTCTATGGAAATGATGTTGCGTTGGAGCGTCTAGTAGACAGTCTAGTTTGCAGACAGCTGCATGTGACAACAGTTGTGTCTGGTGTTCACACAGTTTTACTAAATATGCCAAGTATCGTGACTCATACTCGGAATTTGTGCTCTGCATTTAACCCATCCAAGTGCACACACACAGTAGTGAACACACCCAGAGCAGTGGGCAGCCATATTGGGGGTTCGGTTCTTGCTCAAGAGTCTCACCTCAGTCGTGGTATTGAGGGTGGAAGAGAGCGCTGGTTATTCACTTCCCTGACCGACAATCTCTGCCGGACCGGAGACTCGAACCCGCAACCTCCGGGTTACAAGTCCGACTCTAACCATTAGGCCACGACTGCCCCAAACAGTTTTACTAAATATGATTGGATTCCAATCAGACATGCACAAAAATCAGATCTAGACCGAGAGTCTGATTAAGGCTAAAGTGTTTTAGGCATTTTCCCTTCACTTAACATTATTTGCATTATTTGTAATGTGCCTCCAATAATTGCAAAGTGCTTTGTTACTTCTGATGAGAAACAAAGTCTCATCTTTCAAATAGTCCGTTTTACCACAAAATAAAAAACTAAATGTGGTTTTGACGCCTCAGTTCAAGAGGCAGTGTGAGACATCGCTTGCAGTCAAGACACTCAGTATCAAGTCAGGTATCCACGAGCTGATCTTCAGTGTCTTCTCTACAAGCCTTAAAGGAGACAGCTACACAGTCTCTGCAATTTCTTTTCCACTTATTTTTTGAAGATGCTGTGTCTGTAAAGAAAAGAACAGAAAACTGATTTTAGTCAGGCCCAACATGGCAAATATCCTTTATGAAAAAGTCATGTGATACATAAAATTCATAAACCAGTGAAGAGCTTCTTACCTGGAGACAGCAAGGGTTCATCAGGCTGGTTTATTATCAGCTGCTGCATCACATCCCTGACAGTCAACACACAAAACACAATCAGATGCAAATCAAATAAAAAGATGCTGAAGACAAGTCAACACACAAAACACAATCAGATGCAAATCAATCAAAAAAATGCTGAAGACAATTTACACATTTCAGGTTTATACATGCAAACCACATTCTTTGACGATTTTATACATTCAAAAACAACAAAATAATTTAGTTATTTAGTTATCATTCTGCTCTTGGTTTGAGATTTATAATAAACTTGGATTAACTTTCATCCACTTTCTCCAAACATAAACATCTTACTTAATTTTCAACTTTTCACTCAGAGCTAAATATATTTGAACGTTAACAAATGGTGAATTAAAGTGACCAAGTTAAACATTTCAATTCCAATCAAATGAAAATCAAAATGTTGTGCAGAACAGTGATTTGCTCTTTGACCCAAACTGTTAAGATTTGTTTCAGGTGATCTGATCACAGTTATGCCCGGTTCTAGCCAGAGAAATAGTTTAGAACTGAACATATCTAGCAAAATGTACCCTGTCTATAGAAATTAAGACCTTTTACATTACTCTTAGTTGAGTCCTATGATTAGGAGTGAAATGCCCCTCATTTTTAAGTTTCTGCATTAGGAGCAACTTTTAGCCTTAAGATTTTTGGCTTATATGGCCCCAGATCATTAGAACATTTTTGTTTCTCAGTATAGCGTCGCTGTTTTCTTAATCAAATAGCTTTTCAGTAGCGAAGCTCTTTTTTTGATCAATTTGATCAAGAGCGTCAACAACAGCTACATTTTTCAAAGCATTTCTGAAGCTCAAGCTCAAATCGGAAATATAACAGCTAAGGATCACTGATCCTGGACCAGTAAAAGTGACGTCACTGCCACTAAACCTCGTAACTCCATTGGCTGCTCAAACTGTCAGTGAAACCTCATTAACCAAATAAGTTAGCTTGTGCGAAGCGCTGAATCTTTAATAATATGATATTTTGGCCAAATAACAGAAAAAACTGAGCGCCCACATAGTGAGAGAAAACTGTATAACCTGCAAGTTCATGAAAACG